GAGGTTCTTTATGGGTTATAGTGCCCTTCCCTCCCCTCCCCACTCAAATTTATCACTAGATGACCAATTTTCTAATAAAAAAGACCTCTCCAAACTTTGCTGGTCCCATGAAGATGCATACAGATTTTCATTGGTCCCACAGTTACAGCTGCGATGCTCTGAGAACCTATGGCTCACTTCAGTGCTATGATGTAACCTAGGGCAAATCTCTTCAGAGAGAATGGATAGAAGGCTAATGATGGAGTCAGGAAGGTGCAGGTTCAAGTTTTAGCTTTAATACATATTATTTGACCATGAACAAGTCATTTAAATGCTCACTGTCCCATGACTATGTTACAGATGAGTTACCAATATACATCAGTCAGTCAATAAGCATGCATTACGTGCCTACGATGGACCAAGGACAGACCTTGCCCTCAAGGCAATGGCAGGAGTTACCATACTGGCAGCTCCCTACAATGATAAAATCATAGGTCTGCATTTTTTTTTTCTCAATTAGGGTCGATTGGAATCAAGTAAAGTTCCGATTGTATAATAGCCTCCCCTAGAAATCTGGGTATGAAAAGGGTCTATGTGTAGGTACACAGAGATATCAGTGATCAGATTAGCTGTTACTAGAGACATCTTCAGCACTAGTTGAAGTTGAGTCCCAAGATGATTACTTCTGGTGGGAGTAGTAGTTGATGAGATATATTCTAACTGAAGCACTGGTGTGATTGCTTATCCCATCCCTGTCTATCTAGGAACAACTAAGTGGTACAGTGGATAGAGTGTTAGGCCTGGAGACAGGAAGACCTGAGTTGAAATCTGGCCTCAGCCACTTACTAGTTGAGTGACCCTGGGCAAGTCACTTCACCTGTGCCTGCCTCAGTTTCTCTAATTGTAAAATAGGGATAATAATAGCATCTTCTTTGAAAGGTTGCTGTGAGGGTCAAATGAGTGCTTGGCACACAGTAGGCACTCTAAAGGCCTATTCCCCTCCCTTGATGCCCTAGAAAAATTCAAACTGTGATGTTTCAACATGATGGAAGATAGACGACTGATTATAGGAGGTCATCATTACTGTAATACTGGAAACTCAGAGTCATGAACTATGGAAATGCACGAAGAATAGTGCTGTTGATTCTAGAGTATAAGGAAGTCAGAACTAGTGAAATGCAAATTCCAGATTCACATTTGAAACTAAATTAATGTGATTCAGCTAGGAAATAGAGCAAATAAGATATTGGCTTAATTCAAGCTAATAAGTCTTATTCATCAGGACAGTAATCATGATTGATCAGTAAAAAGCAAACATAAATCACGAAACTGCATCATCAATACTTATGCATTAGGAAGAGGACTCATAAAGAAATGGAAGTTTTATATCCTGTCTAGATCATTAATCTAATATGACAACCAACAAGGAGCAGACATTGCTCACTTAGAGTTAATTACACCCTAGAATTAATGAGTAAGATTTGTTTAAAAAAATAGAGTTCAACTCATCTTGTTGGGTTGAGTCTATCCCAGAGGAATTAACAAAAATGACATTCAGGCAGTCTGTTGTGTATCTCTCTATTACATTTGTTATGTGTTTTTGTAAGTTATGGTCACCTGCCATCTAACCACAACTTGGAGGTAAGTCTGAGCCTTTATTCATGAGCTGTTTCTGTAGTCCTCACAACAGGCACTGTTTGGCACTGCTGTTGATACAAAGGGACAAGCAGATAGGCTGAGATTTTGCCCTCAGAAGCTTATCTATTACTGGTTATATAATTTCTCAATTAGAGTGGCTTATTTCAAGCCCATTGATAGAATTAATTAACAAATATTTCCAATGGACATTGGTTGAATGTGCATGGATAATAGTGTTTTCCTTGCTTACCAATAAAAAAAAGCCTGCTCCCTTTGTCAGCATGTATATTAAAATTAGAATGAAATAGAGAAGCTATGGCCTCCAAGCAAGAATGACAAGTAAATTCATGAAGTACTCCATATTTTTTTTGCAAAAAAAAAAGATTAAAAAATACCAGTGCCAAACAAGGAACTTTAGGGATCCAGAAGCAAGTTATTGAAGAAGCTCCTATGTGGCTGCATAGTGGGTCCCTAGGCAGGATTCAATGCATCTTTTCAGATGCCTCAGTCCCATTCTCGTCACCATATTTGAGAGAAGGGATAGGGGAGGAATAGGAGAAAAGAAAAAGAAGAATGGAGACTGGTAAGGGAGATTGGTTGATTTTTTTCCCTTTTCTACTTTAGGTCCTAGGCAGTAGCAGTATGGAGTAACCCTCCACAAGAGTACTCCTCTAATGCTTCCTCATGACTAGAGAGGCCTCTGGGTTCTCAAAGGCCATGCCAGTGGACCACAATCTCTGGCATATTTTGTCATGCTTGGAAGTCTCTGCAAGAAACTGAGTCTGTTATCTAAACACCAGCCTGGCTCAGTACAGAGAGGATCTTTGACAGTACACTCAACAAGGGAAAGGAAGGAAGTAACCATTTATTAAGTGCCTACTATGCTTAGCAAAGGGCATTTACAAATATTACCTCATTTTATCCTGGTGATGAATTTTTTGGTCATGACAATATGGAAAACAAAATAAAATACAAAATGGCCCTCAGTCCTGTGCAGCCTCCTTCTGCTTCAGCAGTGATGGTGGCATACTGATATATATGGGAAAGAGAGGGTGCTGAGAATCTCATAGTTATTTGATTGTGTTTAACATCAACTTAGCTGTTGCTATTTAAATGTTAGTATTCTACTCGTGTGACCCTGGGTAAGTCACTTATCCTTGCTTGCCTTAGTTTCCTCATCTGTAAAATAAGCTAGAGAAGGAAATGTCAACCACTGCAGTATCTTTGCCAAGAAAACCCCAAATGGGGCCACAAAAAGTTGGGCATGACTGAAACAATTGAAGAACAACAATTCTCCTATTGTGACAAAGCTTCAAGTACTGCCTCTTGCAGGACCCTTTGTCTAATGAGTTGATCTACTGCTGGAGGAAGAGAATCCTAGCAATTATGATGTTCCAATGCTAGGGAAAACCAGAAGTCATAAGGATGTTGTACCTAAATGGAAAGATGGCTTTCAGGTTCTCCTTGGAAAGATGGAAAGAGCATTGGCAAAATTGTATTTATTGGTTGTAACAAAAAAAAATTGTGAGTTACATTGAACTGATTTTATTGTGCCTAAGCAAAAAGTTCACTGTGCAGATAGCTATAGCTTATATGTTAAGGTCTGTTGCAGAGGATAAAGACAGAATTCTATGAAGAACTTGATAAGACTTTCCAAAATATAGCTATAAATATATAATATATATATATATATGCACAAATATGACAGATAAATATTGCTATATATTACATGCATAGAATGTGTATTTTATGTATACATATATACTCAATCTTTACTTTTAATACTCAACAACTTGAATGCGGGGGATGGCACGGGACAAATAAAGAAAATTTTGTTGGAAAACCTGTCTCAGGATTGAGAAATAAAGAGGACAGAAGTTTGTATGATTCATAGAAACCAGAAGAACTAAGAAAACAATATGCAAAATTACTAAAGCAATATAAATGAAAAAAAAATACTGTACACTGGGACCAGTTTTGGCTCCAGAGAAGAGCTTAGAAAATGTGTCTTTGACCAGGGCAAGTCACTTAACCCCAATTGCCTAAAAACAAAAACAAGCAAACAAACAAAAATGTATCTTCTTCCCCTCTTTACAGAAGTGAGAAGGGGGTGGGGGAGACTGTTACGAGAATATAAAATATCGCATATATCGTCAGACATCATTGATACATTGGTTGTTTTTGCTGAACTGCTTCCCTCCCCCTTTTTTGTTTTTCATCTTTGTTATAAGTGATGGCTTGATGTATATGACAGAGAATGGGGAGTTTTAGGAAATGAAAGTGATGTAAAAACAAAAATATTGATGAAAATAAGACTAAGGGTGGGGTAAAAAATCTCGTACCCATATGCAATGAAGAATTTCTTCAAGAAGAAAGTCAAAAGGTAAGCACTGAATAATGTCATACACAGGATATTAAATTAACTTTAACCTAGTAGATGAAAAACAACTGGTTACCAATGTGAGTCATTTCCAAATCAGTGTATAGTTAGACCATTGCCTGGAAAAGCATATCAGATTTCACATACAACTCTACTTTGTACCTCTTTTATACAATATACATATATTATGTGTTTTTGTGTGTCATAGTCATGGGTTAATGTTTTGTCCACCCTTCCCTCCCAGTATGTAAACTTCAAGAGTGCGGGGACAGTGTGTTACCTAAACCTAGCCTCTGCATACAATAGGAGCTAATAAATGTTTGTTGAATAAAACTGAAGTAAAAATTGCTCCTATGTCTCTGTCTCACAGATAGCACAGCCATTGTGTATTACTTTTATAGATGATGAATTGGGTCTTCTCAGTGTTCGTTCAATACCATTATTTAAGTAACAAAGCCCTAATTTTCTGAAGGCTGTCTCTATATCTTGAAAGGATTAATTGAGTTTCCCACAGTTTATAATCAATGCTCTGGGAAAATCCTGCCCCAATCTATTGCTTACCATCATTGCTATCTTTTCTTATTTTTTTTTTCACAAGTAGAAAAGTGATGCAGACAATCTTCTGGAGATATAATAGCAGGGCGTTGGTGTAATAGAATCATAGGAAAGAATCTCAGGAGGGCATATGATCCATTTCTCTGCTCCTAAATCATGTTAGGCTGATGGAAGACACAGATGTTGGGGTTTTTTTCCTAGCACAATGATCTGGAACACTGTGATCCTCTGCTAAGCTAGATTCTGGACAGAGTATAATGGGCACGGAGACAGCAGAACTCTTCCTTAGTCTTGCCCCTGTCTGTTTTGGCACCTTTTTCTTTAAAGATGAGAAATGGTGCCTCATTGACTGGTTGACTGACTGAGCTAATGTTATCTCTGGTTATTCTTGGACTAGATATAAAAGCAGTTTTATTCCAATTACGTTTATTCATTTATTTTCCCTCAGGAGCCGAGGCCTCTCAACACTGGAAGGTGCCAGTTTTATTCAAGTGGGGTAGGATTCTTGTATGACGTCTACCAGACTGAGGTAAACAAAAGCATCTTGGGCTTCCTTGGCCAATGACTTTAAAGATCTAATGCATTTCCCTGTTTTCTTCCCTAAAAGGAAATGGAATATTCCAATTCTAGCAGGTCTTCCTACTATCTCGCTAACTCCTGTCATGGTGGATAATTTATTTTCTGTGGTTGATTATTTTTTTAGATAGCTTAAAAATCAATTATATTTATTTTGGCAAAAAAATTACTCACATTCCATCTTTGGTACATCACAGTCTCCTGGAAATTCGTTTGTTCAGTTCTGTATGACTTTCTCCATGGGGATTATTATTAGTTTTTTTCTTTTACTTATGTTAAGTATTGCAATAAATAGCTAAGACAATAAATCTACATTGGCTCAAGATGCTTTAACATCCAACATATTGACCTTCCTTCCACCAGCCAAGAATGTCAGTATTCTGAATAATACGTTTCCCTCCCCCATTTTCAGCTACATCAAAATGCCAGAAATAGTAATAGTGTGACAAAACATAAATACGTTTCCTCTTGAAACATCAGACATTCATGCTTGGCACTTTGTTTCCTTTCCTTTGCTACTTTGCTATCTATTGTTAGGTCTGTTAGTTTGAATTAACATGGGGCTAGTCAACCTGCTACAAATAAAAAAGGAGGAGAGATTCACGGAAAGGAAAATGGAAAACAAATGACCCTATGGTTTATGGGAAGCCAGATGTCCTTCTTCACAGTTTGTTCCTTGGCTCTGCAGAAAGTCACTGGAACTGCATCAAATTCCTTGATAGAATATTTCAGAGAATAGATGTTTTGAAATCCATGTGTACTGGGGCTTAGTTGTAAGGAGGTGAAGGGAGAATGTTAAACAAGAATCATGTGCTTTGATGCAATATGGTCCCCAGAGTGGTTCCCCAGAGAAGGCTCATTAGCTGGGTTCCATCATTTCAAGGTCCCAGGAGTGTTCTCTTAGAATGAGGCCCTGAGTTTCATTCCCTTCCCCTCTTAATTGCCCTTGGGGTTCCATGCTCTTCTGTGTTTACTGGAATAGAGCACTTAGTTATATTAAAGTGCACAGACTTTTTACTATAATATGAAGAAATTGTTGGGGACAAATTATATGCAAGTTATGTATGATAATAATAATGATAATGATAAAGATTTACATGTAATTGGGGAAAATAAAATATTATTAAATTTTAAAAATATTAATAATAATAATAATAATAATACTAAAGGGAGACAGAGTGGCAGAGTAGATAGAAGGCCAGACTTAGGAAGACGTGGCTTCAAGTCATTTCTATATTCAACTCACTGTGAGTCTGGGCAAGTAACTTAACTTTTCACTGTCCTCAGGAAAACTTCTAAGACTTTAAGTTGAAGAATAGTTATCAATCTGCATTAGATTGAAGAAACTTCCTCACCAGATGCTCCTGATGCTAATGAAATTACAGGTCCAGAAAATAAATGAAAAAATGAATAACACATTTCTAAATCACTTTGGGGGCAGCTAGGTGGCGCAGTGGATGGAGTACTGGGACTGGGGTCAGGGAAACTCACCTTCCTGAGTCCAAATTGAGCCTTAGACACTTACTAGCTGTGTGACCCTGGGGTGAGCCATTTAACCCTGTTTGCCTGAGTTCCTCATCTACAAAATGAGCTGGAGAAGGAAATAGCAAACCACTCAAGTATATTTGCCAAGAAAATACCAATTAGGGTCATGAAGAGTCAAATATGGCTGAAACAACTGAACAACAACAAAAGTCACTTTGAGTTTTATCAATTGTTTCCTCTCATAAAAGTATCTGTCAAGTAAGTAATGCAAGTGTTATTGTTCCCGTTTTATGCATGAGAAAATGAAGTTTAGAGAGGTAATTGGATTGCCCACATTCACAACATCTTCCTTTTTTTTTTATAGGCAATTTGGGATGAAGTGACTTGCCCAGGGTCACACAGCTAGTTAAGTGCCAAGTGTTTGGTCTGAGGCTGGATTTGAACTCAGGTCCTCCTGAATCCAGGGCCAGCGCTCTATCCACTGCACCACCAGGCTGCCCCCACAATGCCTTTCAAACTCTACTTAGCCTTTCCCTGAGATCCTCCCTTTCTCATCCAATCAAATAAGAGTTCCTCCTAAAGCCCAGCCTGTTGGGTTATTTGGTCCTTCCTTATTAATTGGCCTTTTTTTTTTTAAAGTTAGTCTTCAGGCTATTTCTTTTAGCTTCCTTGGTCCCTGGAGAAACCAGAATTCTTTTCTGACACAATCCCAGGTCCACTTCTTGGCTTCCAGTTGAACATTCCCTTTTTAAGGCTGAGTCATAATTTATTATTACTTTCATTGTTACTACTGCTATTACTACTGCAACTTGAGCTTCTTGCCAAGAAGACAGATCTGACAGCAACATCAGTTTAGGCTATAACTCACTTACTAAATCTTATGGAAGAATAAGGCAAAAGACAGAAAAAGACTAGTTATGGATGTGGGAGTCATTTCTGGGTTGGTCGTCTGTGTACAATAGATCATCAGCTTGTCAGGACAAAACAGGCTCTTCACTGGTGGAGAATGATTACTGAATACTCCATGCCTGTGTGCGGGGTAGGGCTGGCAGCAGCTTGTGAAAGAAGAGAGAATTATGCTCTTCTAATTCTCAGCTTTGAGAAAGAAGACGTGTTTCCAGATTCTTCTCAGGTTTCCGAAGGGAGTGAGAGTCTGGGAAGAAGCCAGCATGCAGAGGAGCTGGCACCTCAATCATGTCCCCATCCCCTGCTTGCTTCTTGAAGGACCAAGGGGATTTTCCCTTGAATGAGATCTGGGACTCTCTTGCTTGGCTGAGTAGAGATATCTTGCTCCCAATGAGAGAGCTCATTGACTCTCTGTATTATCTAGCACGTATTCTCATCTGTATACCTTCTCTGATTTCTATTTACTATCTATAATTTAGAACTGCCCTAATCTTACCGTGCAAATAAACCATGTATCTGATAAACAAGGACTAGATGAACAAGCAGATAAGAACAGAGACTCTCACCATTTCCTATAAAAGTTTAAATGATAAAAGACGGTCACCACAACGAGGAGTCCTGATGAGTCTAGGAACCACTTCAACCCACAGACATGATCTCCTTGAAAAGTGCTAAAAAAGAAACACCGGTTTAGGATATAAATTTATTTGAAAATTTTTGTGGAGAACAATGGTGGGAGATTATACTGAGAAGTGTTCACGGGGGAAACAGGTATGCAAAAACTTTTTTGTAAAAATAAGTTAAGATGGGGCATGTAGGTGGCTCAGTAGATAGAGCACCGGCCCTGGATTCAGGAGGACCTGAGTTCAAATCTGGCCTCAGACACATAACGTTTACTAGCTGTGTGACCCTGGGCAAGTCACTTAACCCCATTGCCTAGCCCCCCCCCCCAAATAAGTTAAGACAAGAATATTTAGGGTGAATTTGTCAAAATACGATGAAAAGTGGGGGGAGGGAAATCTAACATTTCTAAAATAAATCATCTCTCCATTGATGATGTTTGAGGCCAATATATTTTGACTCTAGCATCACAGACCCTAGTTTGCTACATGAGGAACTAGAAATAGCATGAAAGAAAACAAAGTTGAGAAAAAAAGCTGAACCAGCAGTATTTGATGGTGAAGCACAAGTTGGAGGTGGCACAGTTTTGAAAATATCGAGGGATTGATTCTCAAAATATCTGGGAGAGAGAAAGAATTCAAGTAATTGGAAAAAATCACAAACAGTATTACCACTGGGCGAATAAACCTCCCCACAACTAAAAGAACTTCAATAACTGTGAATTCACATGATTATTTTCTAATTTATTCTTCTTTGTACCTGATGTGTTATTTCATTGTGACCCCAGTGAGAATCATTCTATGCCAATACTGACAGGAAGCTTCTCTTCAATTTATAATCTTAGAGAGTTACTTAGGGGGACATTGAACTCTTAAGTGACTTGTCCAGAGTTAACAGCCTAGATGTGTCGGAGACGGAACTCAAACAAGGGTCTTCCTGAGTCTAAGGCAGACTCTTTCTCCACCATGTCATGGGTGTTCTCTCTTCTATAAACTTCCTATGAGAATAAGGTATCATTATCAAGGGCATCCTTGATGAAAATATTCCCTTCTCATATTTTCATCAAGGATGCTGTTGACTATAAAAGAAATTGACTCACTTGAACAAAATGCAGCCTTAAAGATTCTCCCCTACCAACATATTATCCATGCATATGTTAAGATCATTTAAGATGTCTTGATATAAGCAACAAAGGCGGTGGCTATTTGATTGCTCTCTAATCATTAACATCAAGTGGAGTATAAACAGGAGACCTAATGTTTGCCAGAAGTGTTTGTCATTTTCGTGGAGGATGTCCCATATAAAGTCTAAATTGAATTGGAATTCCCCATAGATTAGGAGATTGTCCAAATGTTTCTGTCTGTGGATTACTTTGTACTGATTGCTTAAAGCCTTGATACATTACAGAGCCTCTTTAATGAGATTCATAATCACACAAAAGAATATGGCTTAACAGTCCAAAGAGGAAAAACTGAGTAGAAGAAAAATGCCTCTAGTCTAAACTATGAGATGCAGTTGGTGAAATAGTCAATAGATTTGATACATCAAAATATATATCTAGGACAGACACTGTGCTTGAACAACAAAATTGAACCCAAAGCAGAATTGGAACAAGAGGATATAGGCTTACATATGGGAAATTCCATCATACTCCTAACATCCAACATCTCTCCAAAACAAAGCCCTTCTTTTAAATATGAGTTCTCTTCTGGTGATGCTCATATACCTATAAATCATGGAATTCTATAGTCTCCAAAATGTCCAAATCAGAGATTATGAAAAGGGGGTTATTTCTCTTGGCTTTGTGATATTTCCCTTTCCATTGCCTTTTGCCAGACGACTTCTCCCCGAAACAACAGCACAACTATGACTTAATGTTCCCAGGATGAATAACATCTGAAAAGTCAGAAGATTCAAAATCATAGAATCCTAGAGTTGGAAGGGACCTTAAAGGTCACTGAGTTCACTGTCCTCTAGCTAAGGCCTGAGCTCACTTTAAAACATAGGTTCTTAGCCTGGGGTTCACATTCAGATTTCAAGGGACCTTTCAACTTGATGTGGGAAAGTGACATCTCTGTTTACATTAACCTTTGATTTCCTTTGTCATGCTATGAATTTTATTTTATGTATTCAAAAACATGATTCTGAGCAGTCAGCCATTGGCTTCACCAGCCTGCCAAAGGAGTCCATGGCAGAAAAAAACATTAAGAACCCCTTGATCTAGAATGTCAAGAAACCTTGGAGTCACCTTCAAATAATGTCATTCTTCCTTGTTTTTCCACAGTCAATCAATTGTCATCTAATGTAGGCCCTACTTCCACAACATCTCTCACATTTATCTCATCTCTCTGAGTTATTTTAATAGCCTCCTGACCAACCACATTGCCTCTAATAATAATAATAATAATAATAACTAGCATTTATGTAGCACTTCAGATTTGTAAAGCAGTTTGCAAACATTATTTCTTCTTATCCTCATAAGAACCCTGGGAGGCAGGTGCTATTATTTTCCCCATATAACAGATGGAAAACTGAGTCAGACAGGTTATTTGACTTGCCCAGGATTACACAGTCAGTGTCTGAGGTCCAATTTGAAGTTAGATCTTCCTGACTCTAGGTCTAACACCCTATCCATTGTGCCACCCAAATGTCTCCCATTTCTAATTTTATCCTTTATCTAGATGCTAAAATAAGTTTCCTAAGGCACAAATCTTACCAGATCAGATTTCACTCTACAATTCAAACTCTTTATGTTTTGATAAATAAAACTATAAATGTTCATGACATAATAATACATTTTTACTCTGTGCCTTTCTCTGAAACATCTTTTTAAAAAGTTTTATTGTTGATTTTTATTTTTATACAACAGGCATTTCCCCTTAACCTCCCCTCCCCCATGTTCCCATCAACCCGTTTCTTGTAACAAAGAAAAACATTTAATCCAAGCCAGCCAATTTAGCAACTGAGATTTATAACACATTTCACATTTGTAGTTCCCACTCCCTACTAGTAGGAGAAAAGTGTGTGTCCTTGTTAGTTTTCCAAGGCTGAGATCATTCCAGAACCCTTTAATTTGACTGCTGTTTTTGTGTTTAGTTGTTTATTCACTTTTCAGTCATGTCTGACTGTGAAACCTTTTGGGGTTTTCTTGGCAAAGATCCTGGAGTGGTTTGCCATTTCCTTCTCCAGCTCATTTTACAGATGAGGAAACTGAGGCAAACAGGGTTAAGTGACTTGCCCAGGGTCACACAGCTAGTAAGTGTCTGAGGCCAGACTCCAGGCCCAATGCTCTATCCACTTGGCCACCTAGTTGCCTCATTAGCATTGTTAACATTTGCATTATTGCCATCATTATGCATCTCTTTTCTGGATTCTGCTTTCTTCACTTTGCCATCACTCCATATAAGTCTTCCAATACAGAACAACTTTTTAAGGATAGGTGAAGATAAATGTCAGTAGTAGAAAGCCTCTGACAACTTCCTGTTAGCAAGTGGAATCCTTGTAATCTTAGGATTATTATAGATGTAGGACTGGAAGGGACCTAAGAGGCTGTGAAGTCAAACCCCCTTGTTTTACAGATGAAGACTCCAAGGTAAAGAAAAACTAAATGACATGCCTGGAGTTCCTCAGCTAGATGGGATAGGAACTCAGGGCTTTGTGACTATAATTCTAGTACAATATATGCTCAGTGAGCAGCTAGATGGTACAGTGATAGAGTGTTGGAACTGGAGTCAGGAAGACTCATCTTCCTGAGTTCAAATCTGGCCTCAGGCACTTAGTAGCTGTGTGTGACCCTGGGCAAGTCACTTAACCCTGTTTGCCTCCGTTTCCTCATCTGTCAAATGAGCTGGAGAAGGAAATGGCAAACCACTCCATAATCTTTGCCAACATAACCCCAAATAGAGTGATAAAGAGTCAGACAGGACTGAAAGCGACTGAACAACAACATATGCTCTGCCTCTCTTGAAATTGTTTTCACAGCATTATTTTCTCTTCTTGTCAAATGGTCTTGGAAACATAGAAAAGTCGGACTTTTTGGCATCCTGTTAATCATATCAGTGTTGAAGGCATTCTCATTCTTTCTGCCGCTCTGTGTCTAGAAGTAATCTACTTGTAGCATATGACAATTAGTGAGCTTCATCAAATAAAAATGATGACAGTGCCACACACTTTAAGGGTCATTAAAATGATTTCTTGTCACGATGAAGTATGTGTCTCGAATTCACTCAGATCCTTCCAATGTCTGTCAGCTTTCTCAAGTCTTTGTCTATCTAGGGGCAGCTAGGTGGCACAGTGGATAGAGCACTGGCCCTGGATTTGGGAGGACCTGAGTTCAAATATGACCTCAGACACATAACACTTACTAGCTGTGTGACCCTGGGCAAGTCACTTAACCCCATTGCCTAAAAAAAAAAAAGTCATTGTTTAAAGGAGCCTTTTCATCGTTTGAGTCCAAGAGCTTGTCCTCAAATTGGGGCTCCTTGGCTGTTGTTTGGTCCAACCTGTTTTCTCCTAGAGCATTATTAGGCTTACTTTTTCTGGATAAAGGGGAAAGGGGAAATAGAAAGATTTTCAAGGCGGTAGAAAGAGCAAGGATGTTAACAGGCATTTTACTTGAAAGAAAACCCTGATGCCTCCAAGTAGGCAGAAATTCCTGATGCATGGGAAGGGGAAGGTGCTCTGCTTTCTGTAGTAGAATGGGAAGTATTACAGAGATGGAAACAGCTGAGACAGCTGAAATGCTTTCTTTGCTTACAGGTCACCTGCCATTCCTTGACTAGCAAGTGCCAGCTAAAAGTGAAAAGTAATACATGTTACTGCTGTGACTTATACAACTGTGAGAAGTAAGTGCCCTCTCCCTACACCCTACCTCCCTCTTCCCACACACATTCCCCTAGCACTCTGAGGAAGATCAGTGGGGTCTAGATAAGTGCCTTCAACTGCTATTTGCTTTTAAAACAGTGTTTACACCAAGCCTGGCCCTCTCCCTGCTTGTTTCAACCCTGCCAGTTTCTTTTTCTATATAGATTGGTCATCCTCCAAGGGGCAGACTGGACTGCTTCCCATAATGCTGGATTTCCAGGGATGACAGACCATTGTTATTTGTTATTGTGCAGCAGGCAAATAGAGCAGGGTGGGGTCTTGCAGAAAACCGGGTAAAAGCAATGCCATCCTTTCAGTGGATGCCTACATGCTGAGTGTAGGCATCAAGTAATCAGTACTATGGTCCTAGGCTCAATTACAAGGGACCTTTACTGGTCATCTAGATAAGACCTCAACAGTAAAGCTGTCATCTTGTAGACCAGGTGTTCTATTTCTTCTGTGGATATTCCATGCATTTTCCAAATGAGTTTATAATAAAAATGTGCAAATGGATGACCTCTGGAAACCCTTTCCATTTTGCATGCTTTCAGTGCTGGTGTGAACTTACCAAACAGTAAATAACAAAACCAAAAGAAAAAAAAAACCAAAAACCAAACACTTTGCTCCCTCTGCCTCACCATGCTCCCCCTACACACAAATAGGATGTATGACTTCATTAGGGAAGAGAACTCTATGTGAAGGGACTCCTTGTATGGACCCAGATCAAAGCTGATAGCTGTCTAAGGCTTGATAGATAAGTCCTACTGAGTTTCCTGAAGTATGTAGAAGTTAAAAGACTTGCCAGGGTCAGCCAGCTGATAAGTATTAGTGGTAGGATTTGAATCCAGGGCTTCCAGATTTCAAGCTCAACACCCTATCCACTATTCCTCCCTGCCTCTTAGGAACAGCGAGATGGAAACTGATAGACAAGCCCACCTGCCCCATCAAAATTGGAATGTTCCATGAGACATCACCTCCTGGGGAGTTGTTCTGGGGACCGATTAATTTTTGAGCCCAAAAGGACCTTTAAAGGCCATCTAGGGCAGCCTCCTCATTTTTACAAATGAGGAAACAGAGGCACAAAGTGGATGAGACAAAGGTCACACAGGAACTCTCTGGGAAGACCTAAAAGGGATAAAGTTATTTGTTCATGAAGTATTCTGGTAGAAGAGGCAGTTAGAGGACTTAGTGAAAGATAGTTTGCCCACTGAGCTGCAGAATTCAGTCTTTTTGATCTGCAGAGTTTATTGGCTACTAAGACTGGAAAGCTATTGATTTTTCCATGAGATACTTTGCTACTAAAAAAAAAGGGGGGGGGAATGAAGTTCTTCTTATCATCTTACAAAGTTTTATTAATATTTATGTGTATGTTCATACACGTGTATGTATATATGTTTGTGTATATATGTGTGTGTGTATACATACACACACACACACACACACACAGCCATAAAGTTTGTAATGTGGTATTTAGACTTTTAAGCAAAATAAGAGTTTTATTGGACAGGTTATCAACATGTAGGACCCCATGGGTCAGTGAATTAGGTATCACATCTGTGATTTCAGGGGGTCTCCAAGCTCTAACCACTTATTTCCCCCATCATTACCTGTCATTATTTCAATCATCTCCTTTGGGCTAATGGATTGTCTCAAAATCAGTCAACTGAACAAGAATCAGAGATTTAGAACCAGAAGGGACTTCAGAGGTCATCTAATACAACTATCACATTTTACAGATGAAGAAACATAGACCCAGAAAAATTAAATGATTTACCTAAGGTCATACAGGTAGCAAGCACAGGGCAGCTAGGAGATGGAGTGGAGAGAGTGCTAGATTTGGAATTTGGAAGATTGGAGTTCTGCTCCTGCCTTAGATACTAACTGTGTGACTGGGAAATCACTTCCTCAATCTGTGTCTCAGTTTCCTTATTTCTAAAATGGGGATAATAAGAACAACTACTTCACATGGTGAAGATCAAATAAGTTAACATATGCAAAGCACTTTGCAGACCTTAAAGCAATATATAAGCACTGGCTGTTACTATTATTATTATTATTATCATCATTATCATTATTAAGTAACAGAACTGGGATTCTGACTCCCAATCCCCTGTTCTTTTCACTCATGGTAATTTTGCTGTCTAGAAAGCCAACTTTCTATCTGAGCACACACTATCTGACCCATTCTCTTTCCTCTCTCCCCCCGACATTCTCCTCTCTTCTTTCTGTCCCAAGATTCCCAGGTGCTGAGGGTCTAGTGTCTACTTTTGCTACGTACTTGTCTATTTTTTGTTACCATCCTTGGCAAAGGTCCCACTTATCTGCTTCCTCACTCCCCTCAAAGTACGATGATTCTCCTGGGCTAGTGCTCCAGTTTCTGTTGCTTCAGACCTTTCTTCCAGTTCTCAGGCATGAGTTGGAAGCACCTGGATAAGCTATACAAGGATTTCTCTATCCAAGTAGATAAATGATAGTAGCCTAGGGAACCTCAGGCAGGGGACATGAACATTGGAGGGAAATCTAGTTGCTAGAAACCTGAATCCCAGCATTGGCCTTGTTTTGTTTTGAATAAGTGTGTGAGTGTGTGTGTGTGTGTGTGTGTGTGTGTGTGTAATGAAAATTAAGTTGTATATAGAATACGAGTAGGGACTGCACCTGTGAATTCATTTGGTATGGTGAACTCTCAGATGAGAAAACTCCCTCTACCAGTGCAGGTCAGTGGATCATGCAAGCCAATATGTATCACAGGCAAGACTTGAATCCAGGTTGTCTTCTCTTTGAAGTTGGCACAAGGGTCAGGAATACCTTTTACCTTTCTTTGTATTCCCCCTTCTCTCCACCTTAGCACAAGGCATGTCACATAGTAGGTACTTTATTGGCTGATTGACTCTGTGTGACCCCACTATGCCACACTGACTTTCTAGATATGATATAAAAGAGATTGCCAGCTTCTGTAATATTTATGCTAAACAACTAACTGGGAAAGAGAAGGATTTTAAACTTGGTTTGGTTGATTTGGGGGATCTTTTTTTCTTGGGGAAGACCTGGGGATTGTGGTGTACAGAGTTGATGGTGTTCACTGATGTAAGAACTCCTTGTTGAATGACCTACTTAGGGTCACATGGCCAGGAGGTGTACAAGGTGGCACTTCAGCCCAAGTCTTCTGACTCTGAGGGTAGTTCTCCATTCCTTATACCAGGAATGGGGAACCCGTGACCTCGAGGCCACATGTGGCCCTCTAGGTCCTCAAGTGCAGCCCTTTGACTGAATCCAAATTTCACAGAACAAATCCCCTTAATAAAAGACTTGTTCTGTAAAACTTGGACTCAGTCAAAAGGCTGCACCCAGGACCTAGAAGGCCACTTGTGGCCTCGAGGCCTCTGGTTCCCCACCCCTGCCCTATACCATGCTGCTTCTCATGATTATATTAAAGTAATACTGAATACTGATTATATTAAAGTAATAAAGTGGCTATTCATTGGAACTGCTGACCATTTTTGATTGTCATATGTGTAATATAAAAGGCATATAATGTGCTTTGGATGAATATTGTTGTAAGTTGTGTTTTATTACAGCGCTGACTCAATGTGTGTCTAGTCACCTATTGCTTGTGCAACAAAGTTACCTGTTCTCACTTGAAACAATTAGAAGCCACCAATACCATTTTCCCTTTACCTTCTGCAGCACAGAACACTCTACTAGTTACTATGAGTTTGTTGGAGTCAGTGGCTGTCAGGACGTGGTTCACCTTTACCGTTTGCTGTGGACCTCAACAGTGCTAAACGTTATTGGTTTGTTTCTGGGGATCATCACTGCAGCCGTCCTGGGGGCCTTTAAGGACATGGTGAGTTAGATGACTCTCCCTCTTGAGTTGTGTTGGTTTGTCTATTCATATCAGGTCCAGAATACAAATCAATGCATGCACACATGTGCACATACATACATATATATGTGTGTGTATAAATACATGTGTGTATACACATACACACATATATACACACCCATATATGAATATTTATGTGTGTATAGATATGTATGTATACATACACACATATATATACCACTTAGTTTTCCATGGAATGATTGAAAAATGAGCCCTTATGAAATTGTGCCCCAAGAAAGACACAATTTTAAGAGCATGGGACATGGAGTCCAAAGACTTGAATTCAATTCAACAAACTACTTATTAAATGGATACTTTGTGTAGAGAACTGGTCTTAATAGTGAGAAATACGAAACCTTGATGAAACATGCCACTGCGCCCATAAGCTTACAGACAAATATGCTGGTAATTAAATTATATGGAAAGTACATTTGAGGGAGGTAAATAAAGTGTACCACCCCTCCATTATTTTGTATCTATGTTGTATATACCGGTATACATACATCTTGTGTCCTAGGCTAAACTGTAAGTTCATTGAGGTCAGGGAGGAGGTTTTACTTTTGTAAGAGCAGTTAGGTGTTGTGATGGGTGAAATATGAAATGACTGAAGAAACAAAGGTTCAAGCTTCCAAGCATATCAGTTTATTAAGCAATGCACACCAGTTGCATAATGAATCTGTTCCAGGCCTTCCTCAGCTTTGCCAGTGGACCCTGAATACAGGGGGAGACAGACTTTTATGCATTAAAGACAATCAAATAAGACTAATTAATTAAAAGAAAAAAATTAACCAAGATACAAAATTAGGTAATCTGATTTCTAATTGGAGGAAAGATTTGACACTTTCCAAATTGGGAAAGGGCAAGTGAACAAGTGCAATTCCCTGAGGTCAGAAGAAGAGGTGTTCCACTTCCCCCAGTGGGAATTCAATCAAGGGAACATGGAAACAAAAACTGATTAACTTAGTTAAGAAAATCTGAGAAAACTTAGATTAACTAGTCCGGGGCCAGTTCAGGGTCAACCGATCGAATTCCCTCAATTCTGTCAGTTGCTTGAGATATGTAATTGTGAGAAAACCCCTTGCATCAATTTTTGGATCTGACTGGGTTTCTTGTCAGCATAGTCTAGGTACTTAGTTAAGGGTCTCTAAGCAACAGGTAGAGGTGGTCCAGCTTCCCAGTCACGCAGGGCTGGATTCAAACAATGCGATAAGGTTTCTCACAATTCCCACAATTGAATCAAGTTTTCTCACAAGACAGAAATTGGATTAAACCTATAATTGAACAGAAAGGGAACTGAGTTAACCCCAGAATTCAGTCACAAGACGGAGTCATTGTGGTTCACTGAGTTCCCACAATTAACCACTTGCTGTCCTAATCCCCTCAATTCCCTAAATTGCATAATCAGAATTGTTTCATCTTTTACCCACCACAATGGTAGTGGATTGGGTACTGGGCCTGGAGTTTGGAAGACCTGAGTCTGTAATTTACTGTGTGACCTTGGACAAGTCACTCAACCTCTGTTTGCCTCAATTTCCTCATCTGTAAATGGAAATAATGATAGCACCAGGATTATTGTTAGGATTAAATGAGATAATTGTAAAGCACTTAGCACAGTGCCTGACACATAGTAAGTGCCATATAAAAATGTTAGCTATTATTCTTTGTAGCTCCATTGCTTAGCACCTAAAAAATACTTAATGCCTGATTGACCGATTTTTCCTAATCACTCTTTGGGGAAAGAGTTGGAGGGAACAAATCACTCTCTGACACTGCATTTTGTTAACAGATTTTCTATTCTCTGAACTAGGTACCCCTATCCCAAATGGCCTACGGTTCTGCACCTCCTCCTCCTCAAATTCTCTACAATCCAGCCCAGCAGATCTTGACATATGCAGGGTTCTGTCCTTCTACAGCACCACTTCCTGCCTACTCATCCTACCCTTTACCCCTTCAGGTACAGTACCTGCAAAGTTTGCTCTTAATATGTACCTAGAAGAAAATCAAACATACTTTCATGCTAGAGAAAATAAAGGAAAGGAGTTATTGTTACCAGATGTCATTTAGACCAGTTGTGGTAAAGGCAGCAAGGAGAAGGATTTGTATAGCCTTGTTTTGATGCCTGGGCCACCCACCCTCTTTTCATGTTTACTTAAAATCATGGATGATAAAGTCAGTAATAATTGAAGAAAAAGAAGTCTGGGGTTAGATTTCTAACTTTGAGGAGAAATCATGGTGGATAACTATACCCTTTCATTAAACCCCCTTTGGTGCTACTGTCAAAGACCAGATAGAAGACTCAGGAGGCCATTGTGTGAGCCAATTTGGCACATCCGGTATTAGCTGATGGCTGATCCAGAAGCAAGGGAGAAGAGATTGCTTCCATAGCCCATGAGCAACTCTTCCTAGAAGCTTGCCAAAGCTGAGAACCAGAAATATCGGAATCCTATAATGGGATGCCCCAGGAGTTTGCAGTGTCTCTTATTATGACAACGAAGTATACTACTATTGAACAATTTATTTTGCAATACTAGTGAGGCAAGAATTTCAGTGCTAGTGTGGGAAAACTAGGGAGAAAGCTTTTAGTAGGACCCAAAGTCTTGGTTATCCAATAATAACTATTCTTTCCTACTCGTGATTCCATGAGCACTTTTGTCTGCCTGTGTTCCCTGGCTTCAGGACCCTCCATCTCTGGCACTGGTAGAGTTAAATGTCAATCTACTACTCTACTGTTCCATTTAATATCCCTATAACTTTCCAAGCTAAAGTATCCCTCCCTGGCCAGCCACATATATGTTGTCTCCCCCTATTGGAATGTAAGCTCTTTGAGGTCAGGGACTATCTTCACATTGATCCCACATTTGTATCCCTAATGCTTTGCACAGTGCTCAGTGCATAATAAGAGCTTAATAAATGTTTTTTCATTCATCAACTTTATCAGTGGCTCTCAAACTTTTTGCCATGGTAGAAACCTTCACTTTATGCAAAACTTTGGGAGAACCTTTGTATTATTAAGTCCTAAAAAATTATTTATTAATCATTTATTAATTAATTCATTATTTATTTATTGTTTTAATGACTAATATAAGATGACATAAGGCTCTCGAAACAAACAAACAACCTTGGGGTGTTGGTCCTTTGGAGCAAAATATTGTATGAGACATTATATCAAAACCAGTCCGGGCAGCCATTTCTCTAGGGCTAGTCAAGTGGTCCTATGTGGTATTGTTGTCTTCTAAGGACAAATTACTTTGTTGCCACATTCAGTGACCATCTTATTAAGAAGTGAAGGAGGACTACACACAAACTTTTGTTGTGAAAGTACCTCTTAGAGGTTCTTCTTTCTTCCCTGCTATCTCTTATATCTGCTTAGGGGCAGAGGGATTTGGAAGGAGTTAGCCACTGGGGCAAAGGGTCATAACCAGGGAATATGGTCAGTAGAGTTATGTCAGCAATGGCATATTGTCTAAATGGGGTCCACTGTATGCTGTGTGCTGCTGCGTGTGTGCATAATTCAGTTGAGGGAACTGGGGAGGTGGAAGGGGTGCCTGGCCTGGGCCCTAGTCTCCTATTCTGAAAGCAAATTGCCACCTGCTTTGTCATTTCTAGCCTTAAGGTGCTGCTTTCAACTCTGAGAGGTTAATAAGTAGTTTCTCCAAAGTCTCAGAGTCCAGTCTGTGTCAGTGGGAGGACATGAATTTACATCTTCCTAACTCCAAATCCAGCTTTCTGCCTGAAGTCATTCTGACTTCATAAATAAGGTACTGAGATTCAGAGTGGCAGAAAGATCTTCCAGGAGTCACTCAGCTAGGAAGTATTAGTGTTAGAACTTGAATTCAGGACTTCTGACCCCAAGTTTAGTGCTTCCGCCCACACACACTCAACCACGTGCTGAGGATTCAATGCTATTTAAACTGATTTAACTTGAGCAATACACACATAGGATCCAGCAGCCATGTAGTGCAGTGTCTCAGAATAAGACAGAGAGGTTGAAAGGACATAGTGATTTGTCTATGGTGACAAGACATTGGAAATTGTTATGAAGCTAAAACTGAGCTTTCTAAGCAGAAAGGGAATTTGAAGGTTTTTCAAAGCTTCTCTTAGCACCTTTCTTCCCTGATTAAGATTCCTTGACTACCTAGTTCTCAGCTATACCTACCTACAGATAGATTTCTAATTTATAGGATCATAGCTTTAGTGCTGGAAGGGACCTCTGAGCTCAACCCCTTCATGTTACAGAAGAGAAAATTGAGGCCCAGAAAGTTTTTAGCAATTTGCCCAAGGTCAAATAGGTGGTAAGCACTGGAGGCAGAATTTGAACTTAGGACCTCTGACTTCAGAGCCTATGCTCTTTATATTGTTATTTTAACACTATATACTAGTTTCAGAATTTGCCTGAGATTCATAAGCATTTAAAAAAGACTCTTTTTGCCAATTGTGGTGGGATACATGTATAATCCCAGGGACCCTTGAGGCTGAGGCTGGTGTGTCTCTTTAGTTTAAGAGTTCTGAGCTGCAGTAGACCAAGCTGATTCAGTATCCCACTAAGCTCAGCCTGAATGTACTGAACCCCCAGTAGTGGGAGGCCACTTCACTGTTTAAAGAGGAGTGAATCAGCTTCCTTGCTGATCATTACTGGGAATGGGTGTGAATCACTGTTGTACATACAGCCTGAGTAAGTTAGGGAGATCCAGAAGGTGGAGGTGGAGGTGGGGAAGAGAGAGAGAAGAGGGAAGAGAAGGAGAGAGAGAGAGAGGGAGAGAACAAAGATGAGAGAGAGAAGAGAGAGAGAGAGAGAGAGAGAGAGAGAGAGAGAGAGAGAGGAGAAGACAGAGAAGGGGGGAAGGAGAGGGAGAGAGAGAACAGAAAGAAGGAGAAAGAGGAAATGGGAGAGAGGGAGGGAAAAAAGAGGAAGAAGAGAGAGGGCAGGAGATAGAACTCTTTTTAAGAGTTTCCTAAATAGCTAGTGGTCAGGATGTCTTTGTTATGGACTCGGTATAAAGATTCCTCCTCCCTTGATTTGCACTTCGGGGTTAAGTTTCCCTTCTGCTTAGATATCTGGAAAAACTAATAGAACAAAAATGTCCTGGAGGCTGAAGAATATGAATTCTAATTCCAGATTCCGTATAAACAGATTCTTTTTATTTTTGTGCCTCAGTTTTCTAACATCGACTACTGTTACAAACCATTCATCTCTGGAAGGGAAGAAAGTTTTCCCCCAAGGAATGTTAACCACAAAATCATAGATTTGGAACTGGAAGTTTAGACCTTTGAAGCTATCTAATCCAAACCCCTTATTTTTCAGGTGAGGAAACTAAGGACCCAGGAGATTAAGTTGACTTGCCCAAAGCCCAAAGGTAGAAAATAGAAATAATGAGATTCAAACTCAGGTCCTCTGACTCCAAATCCAGTCCTCTTTCCACTGTATGACACTACTGTTTTTGACCAGGAAAGAGCTGAAAGAGAAATATGTATTTTTTTAAATGGGCAGTGATTATCTTTCATAAATAAGAAATGGATCGTCCAAGATAGTTGGTGAACTAATCTCATTTTACCAACATGATGTATTGTCTCCTCATGTCTCTTTTGGGATGTTGGCTTTTTTGAAAACAGCAACTGTCCTAGTTTGAAAAATCTAACTTCCTTGATCTCATCATCTCATGGGAGATCTTGGTTCACATCCTGATGACTTAATTAGCTGTTTTGGTCAACATATGTAGGACTATAATTACATATACATTAACAATCAGATTTCATAAGAGAGAATAAATCAAATAAGGCTCCATGTGCTCCCTAAGAAAAGAAAACCAGAATCGATGTTTCCGCTTCAGCTAAACCCATCAGAGATGGAAAGGAAATATGTTAAGTGTTCTGTTGACATAATTAGCAGCTAAAAATACACCCACATAATAGAGAGCAGAGAATGAGCCAGCTACTTTTTAGTTTTATTTTGAGTGGTCAGTAAAAAAAAATTGAATGAAAACTTAAAAGCTGCAGATCTATGCCAATCACAGATCTTTACTTTTTCCAAGATCTCTTCTAGGTAAGAAACCTAAAAATTTGGCAATAAGACCTCCTAGTAAATAACAACATGAACAAAGTTTTAATCATATGTATTGTTAATCAGCTCATATATCTTATATCTTCATATATCTGTCTGTTTATTCTTTTGAACCCAAAGCTGTTATCCTTTTGTGAGAATCAGAACCTGTAGCAATAGCTGATGAGACTTAATACTAGTGAAGGAGAAAAGACACACATGCAGAGGTTAAGAAACTTGAATGTATCAAAAGCCGAATCATAACTATGACTTTTTGTCATAATAACACCCAGAGCAAATTGTATGAAGCATGTATTCAGTTCTGTTTGTGAGCACACGTGTGTGTGTGTGTGTGTGTGTGTGTGTGTGTGTGTTGTGTGTGTTGGGGAAGGTGGTAGAGGGGATGGAGAGGACCAGAACAAGTGAGGAGCTGCTCCACACAGCCCACATCAGGTAGCTTCCCATTTTAACTAATTATTCTTGCTAGGTAGGTGATAAGTTCTATTGTTTCTACATTGCTAAAGGATGGCAGGTACTCTCAGTGATCTTTTAATTTGAAACTGGGATTAAGTCCTCTAATTGCCCCATCCTAGATAATAAAAGACTCTAAGGCCTATGTTATAAAGGGCTTTTTTGTTTGTTCTTTTGTTAGAAAAGCGTATGGGGTGTGTGTGTGTGTGTGTGTGTGTGTGTGTGTGTGTGTGTGTGCATGCATGTGTGAGACACACATACAGAGATAGAGACAGACAGAGAGAGAGAGAATGAGAGATCTTGAATCCTGAGATGCAAAGTTGCTAATACTTAAGTTATGATTCCCTCTTTCAAGAAAATAGTGATGAATTTACATAGACTTCCTGGCTTCCGTTAGAATTTTAGAGAAAATTGTTCCTTTAAAGCCATGAAACTATAGTTCACCTCATTTACTTCTATCATGCACACAGATCTTCAGATAGATATGTTCTTCTAGAAAAGCTGAAACATTTGTGGGGTATGTACATACACACACACACACACACGCACACACACACACACTTGGGGAGCAGAACATACAGCAATGTAGATAAAATAACTTTTGTGTCTTAGAGAGGGTAGGTTACCTTTTATCCTGAACTCAACGCTTTTAAAAATGCTAGCAGGTAAATAATGAAGAAAGGAAATGAAATTTTGATGTTTAAACTCTTCTCCCTCCCACCTTGCCTCTTCCTTCCTTGTGTCAAAATAACTTTTGTTCTTGTTCCATCTTTTTTTTGGGGGGGGGCAGGGAGAGGGACAGGGGTCCGTATGAGTGATTTCACTGGTATAGGAAACTTCCAAAGTATAGGAAACCTCCTTTACCAATGCTGCATAGCAGTTATTCTGCAACTGTCTGAGAGAGTCTGAGAGAGTTTTCTGGGGGCATTGGGAAGTTAGGTGATTTTTCCAGTGTAATACAGTAGGTACCAGAGAGAGGACCTGAACTTAGGTCTTCCTAACTTTGATGTGAGCTCACTGTCAATTATATTATGCTTCCTCTCCACTTTTTCCTTCTTAAAAGTGAAACTTTGCAGTCTTCCCATTTCCAGCATGTGATTGAATGGACCAGTGTGATCATTTTCTTTAAAACACAGAGAAAATGTCCTTTTAGTATAGAGGAATCCCCTAATAATGGTGGGAAAAGGTAGGGTGCCCTCACCAGTGTTCATGGATGCTGGGTGCTTGAAACAAAGTTCAACCTGCAGGTGACATAAAGTTTGGAGTGGAAACTGAAACTCTGGATGATAGATGCAAGTTTCTTTTTTTTTAAATTTTATTAATGTATTTTGATTTATCAGCAATCACTTCCATATGCTTTTGAGTTGAAAATTTTTCGCCCCCTTCCTCCTCCCCACCTTCCCCAAGACGGTGCACAATCTGATATAGGCCTTACATTTACATTTGATAGATGCAAGCTTCAACAAGGCTGAAACTATGGATAGAGATAAAATAGGGATATCTATAAAGTTCTTTACTTGAAAATGATAATTCATGTGCAAAAGACCCAGGGTTTTAGTGGACTACAAACTCAGTATGAACTAATAATGTGAGATGGACTCTCAATTTTCCCCTCCTAAAAAAACCCACCTCTTGATGTCATATTTTTTTTTCTTGGGAGTGGGGGAAGTGTCTAGAGCTATCATTGCTACATACTGGTGGCTTCTCTATAATCTATTGGAGAATTGCTTTGGGAAAGGGGAGAGGGAAGGTATATAAACATTTTTATAGTATCTAGTATGTGCCAGGCACTATGCTAATAAACACTTTACAAATGTCTCATTTGACCCTCACAGCAACCTATGAGGGAGGTGCTGTTATTATCCCCATTTTATAGTTGTAGAAACTGAGGCAAACATCAGTTAAGTGATTTGCTCCGGGTCACACAGTGATCTGTGTCTGATTGCTGGATTTGAATTAAAGCTCTAATCACTGCTGCCACCTAGCTACTTCAGTGTCCAGGGGCAGTGAAAGGTTTATGACTTATCTAGGGTCACACAGGCAGTATGTGACTGAGGCAGAAAATGAAACCAGCTTTTCCTGACTCCAAGACTGGCCCTCTATCTACTGTGCCATGCTGTATTGAATATCTGGTTTACCAGGTTTCATTAAATGAAGGGCAATATCCAAAGTCCCACTGGACTCCGAGTTGCTTTTATGTTCTGTTGAGTATTGTGTTCAATTATGGAGATACCAACGTATTGAAGTGCATCTGGAAAAGAAGAACCATGAAAAGGAAGTGTCCAAAAACTATTTCACCTGAGGAGCACTGAAACAAAATGGAGGTTTTTATCCTGGAGAGGAGAAGCTGAGTGGGGGAACATGACAGCTGTCCTTAAATATTTGAAAGGTTATCCTGAATAAGAGTCATTATTAGATTTTATCCATAGGGCTCTCGAGGGCAGAGCTAGGACTATTGGAAGAGTCTCAACAGAAAGAAGGATGTCCTGTTTGCACTCTCTGAAAATAGAATGGACCGCATTGCAAAAGTAGTGGTCTATCCAGCATTGAAGTGTTCATGACTATCCACTGGGAATGTTGTAAAGGGGGATTCCTACACTGGGTGGAGAAATAGACTAAATGACTCCTCAGATCTCTTCCAGCCCTAAGATTGAATGATGTTACTCCAAGTGCTTATATTTGAGAAAATACATTTTAACCCTTGGTAGATACAAATTCTTATAATTATGAGATAAAGAATCAGGGTCTATAAAAATGGGTCAGGGCTACTATTGCCCATAATATGTCACTTTTTTGAAACTTTGTATTATATATTTAGTTCCTAAGATTTAATAAAAGGCAGCCAATTGGAAAAATAAATGATGGATGTGTATTTTTACCCCTAAACAAACATAATAGGTGAAATGGACCTATATATATGGGACAGATGCACTTTTAATAAAAATTCTTTCTGAAGCATCCAGTATTGTTAGGTTCTTTCAGGCAAAGATATAAATTTTAAGAAATTTAAGCACTAATATGGCTGGACTAAATGATCTCTAGGGTCCATTCCAGTTCCAAGAATTTATGAGTTTATGAGTTTCTAATACAGAAACTCAGATGACCCCAGGGCTAACCTAGCCAAGTAGAGAGAAATTCCTTTTGACTGCCCAACCTCACTACCATATTGTTTGAGTCAGAAAGTGACAGCGGTGTTTGGGTTCGTCTCGCCCTTCCTTCTAAAGAGAACTGAGCCTGGATTATATTGGGAAAATGTTTCTGGCAGGGACCCTGTCCCCGCTGCAAGGCACTTTAAAGGGATGGTTTTACCACTTAGCATTTTCCTCATGCTTTTTCATGCACTGCATGCATGCTGTAGCCTGAGTTTTAATCTTGCTTACTGAAGAAAGCCGTTTCTGTTTAATTACAGCCTGCCGGCAATTTTCCAGCTTCGTCATCCACTGATATCTCTTTATCTGATGACACCCAGCCTCCGTCTCAGTCCAGCTCCACCTATGGGCTTCCTCCCAATGCCCCACCACTCTATACACCAACTTATTTCCTCCCTGGGGAAAAGCCTCCACCATATGCACCATGAAACAGTATAGGTTTTCTGTAGTCACTAGCAGATTTAAAAAGGCACCTCCAGAAAACCAGCTGTTTTGACTACCTGCAGATGAACCAAGAAACTCTTTCCAGTTCCACTTACTTTCTTCTCCCTTCACATTCACTAAAAATGGACCCGGAGTCTGGGAGACCAGGCCAGATATCTGACCAAGAAGATCACGCTGTTGACTTGGGGGGGGGCTATGGCAGGAACCTCTTGTCCTTTCTTTCCCCACTATAACTAGTGGACAAAGGGAAAGGGAAAGGGGAACCTTTATCAAGAACACTGTTCTCTACAGAAGCAACACTTCATCATTTCAGATGCCCCTGGCTTCTTTTCTATAAATCAGCAGTGTACCTGGGCCCTAAAATTCTTCTTGTCTGGACAGGATTGTTTCTTCCGCTGTTTCTTTTCCTCTCCTATAGAAGGAAAACAAATGCCCTCAGTTTCATTTCCTTACAGCATTTTTAAAAAAAATCATGCTTTTGTCCTTGGGGAAATAGGGTCCAGAAAAATCGATGTCATGATTAATTTACAATAAAATATACTATGTGTTTATATATATACATATATTATATATCATATGCGTGTTCACATGTCATAAAGAAGAGATGTGGTCCCCCATTGTTGCATTGATCTTTGGGTAGCCTTTGTTCTGAAAAGAAAAAGGGTGCTGTTTCAAGTATACAATGCAATATTTAAAGATTGTTGGTTGTCTGAACCATATGTGTGTAACTGTTACTTCTTGAGTATAAAGTTTTCATCACTGTTGTGAAAATATTTTCTATGGGAGTTCAGCATTTGATCTTTATAATATTTGGTCTTGAATAGTATGCTCCTAATGTTTTCTAGAAGATGTCTAGTTCACCAGTAAGTTGAGTCAACAAGTGTCTAAGTGCCTACCTTGCCAGGAAGCTGCCGTGTATAGGAACTGTTCTGGCTTGCTTTGGTTGGATAGGAAGAGGGGATTCTCTTTGGTCTCCATTCTACTCTAGTTGTTGACTCAATTTCCTCGTCTATAAAATAGAAGTCTTTGATTAGATGGTTTTTAAAGGGCCTTCCAGCACTAGAATTCTCAGATTCAATTTTTGTATCTATGCCTGAAGTGCTAGCTCAGTTCCTAATCTTTTTTTAATTTAATAAATTTAATGCAGACCCTTTGGAAAACATGATCTTTGGCTCCCTCTTCTGGCTGTAATGCTACAGCTTTATTTTATATGACCAGTCTTAAAATTGTATTTCACCTTGAGTAACTGTTACAGAAGACACATATTTCTTCTGGGTATCTACAGAAAAGATTACTGTAGATGGAGAAAGCAATCTAAAAGGGAAACAACTTATTTTCCATTTGGGTCCCCACAAGCTCTGATCTTGCTAGATAAAAATCAGACAAGAATTTAATGTTTCCCAGGGAAAGTGAAAGGAAGAAAAACACATGATGAGTCAAATCACAATAAACTGGGTCAGAGAGACCAGAAAGTGCCATACATATGAAAGATACATGGGTGGCTGGGGTGAGAGACAGAAAGATAACTAACTCTGTGCCAATGAAGATTTTATTGGGATCCAAGAATGCATATTATGTTTCCAGAAAGAAGCTAGTTTCATTGAGAACGGTTGTCTCTGTGTTTACATTTCTATATCCCTCAATTGTTAATTGGTGACCAACCTGATCATACCTGTTTCTTCCCTTTGCATTAACTCATATTTCTGTGTAATATCACTTAAGAAACAGATTTATAGGTCTTCCAGAGCAGCGCTGTTGAAGTCAAAAGAAATGGATCCCCTCAGGCTACATATTGATTTAGAAAATTAAAAATTAACATTGTCTGTGTTGCATTATGTTTTTATTTATTTTGTTACATATTCCCCAATTGTATTTTCATTTGGTCAGTGAGACCTTGGAGTAAGTTTCACAGGCCAGTGAGTTTGACAGTCCAGTATTTGATGCTGTAATTATTGTATGTACAATTTAAATAAGATCTGAATTATCAAAAACAGCTAAACTAACTCCCAATGGTTGAAGGAAAATTTCAGGATGGCTTGAAATTTGCTTGATTATGGTCTGATGTGTTTCCTGCTTATGAGGTATTTGGATTTGAACAGTTGTCTCCTGGAGACAAAGTGCCTTCAGCCAAAGAAATGACTGTCTAATGGTAGGAATGCCAGTCACTGTGTCAAAAGTTTAGGAGTGATAATTTTTAGGAAGGGTGCTCTGTATGTCTGCCCTCATTCGAATTTCAGTGTAGAATCTGGCTTCCCATTTACTTTGCCTAAGGCAGCCCTAGTTTAAACAGCTGGACTGACCCTATTCTTCTTTGATTGTAATCCTATGGATTTGGCCTCATTCTCACCTACCAGAAACACTCAGTTTTCTGTGATGTTCCTCATCTATCAATTAGGGCCAAAAATGTGTACATGATGTTAAACAATGAAAAATAAAAAAGTCAAGCAATGGATAAAATGTTCCCATTTCTCTTGAAGTCATACATCAAAACAATTTGTTCTCTGCTTTGCTAGAAAGTGATAATTGTTTCTAATGAGTTAGAAACAGCCATACTGGCTTTCATTTGTATTAAATTTGGAACAGGAAAGCTTTAAACTATTAGCTCTTTGTGAATCATGAACTTTCTTAAGTTTCCTCATATGAAGAGTCACTTTGGCATAGTCACCTTCCCTTGGTGCTGAACAAAGAAAACAAGAAAGGTTAAATTCAAAGTGTCTGCCAGGGCAGTATACAAAATATGGGCACATATTTACTCAAGTAAGCTCTCCCTTATGTACAGGGGAGAAGTTTGCAAAAAAACAGAATCCATGTAGGCGTATATATGTATATGCACATGCATGTATGTATATGCATCTGTACTTACATAGAAGAATGTACATAGAAGAATTGGATCTGTGATTCCATTGGGATAGAGGACTGCATAGATATGAAAACTCACTCTACCAATGCAGATTGGCTCCCTGTCTGAAACATATAATCTTAGAGAGTTACTGAGAATAGTGAATGGCTAAGTGGTTGCCATAGTTACACATCCAATGTGGCAGAGGCAGGTCTTGAACACAGGTCTTCCTGGCATTGTGGCTGGCTTGCTCTCCAATGCGCAATGTTGCCTAAATACAAATACATGGGTTTCTATATTACATATAGACACCCAGATATTTATATGATGTTTCAGTAAAATGTATACGTGATTTGGTCTGATTGCTTATTCATAATGAAAATTATGTCAGAATATTAAAGAAGCAAACATTCAAAATATCTATTTTAAAATCCATAACAAAATTCATATGAAAATCAGAGGGTTGAACCCTAAGGCTCCTTCCAGCTCTGACATTCTAGAGTCTGTTAATCTACAAGGCACATTGCTCATGTCAATTAGTGGCTTTATCACATAATTGAATTAATGAGACCTTTTAATCTACATTTGTAAATGCTTTTTCACCATTCAAATTATGTATACATTTTAGCAAAGGATGTTCTGAGTAGCTATAGAATGCCAGAAAGAACAGCTAGGACTGTAACTAGTCCTTTGTCCTACCATTTTCTTCTCCATTACTGACAGATTTACTCTGGAATGAGTATTCAAGCAGCATTTGCCACAAAATGAATAAAATGATCAGGGCCCAGGCTGCTCCCTTGTTAACAGGCCTTAGCACAGATACCACTAAGCTCCAGCTCAGTGATGGAGCGGTTTCTGTGGGAACCACCATAGGAGATTATGAAGGAGTCAGAAAGGAAATTGTTTTCCTCTTTGAAAATCAGTGTTCACACTAAGCTTGGTTCCTTCAAGCCTCAAGTAATCCCAGCCTTCCCTTTTCCTGCTGCTCCAAACCGGATACCCTAATATACACTTCGGCAGGAATTGAAATGACCAGAAGTGAAAAAGCAGAGTAATATTACATAAGAACTCACATAAGAGACCCTCAGGAGTGACTGTTAGAATAGGGGAAGCAGAGAGAATCCCTGTTTACTAGAATCAATCAACTGACTAGCTTCCCCCTTCCCCTTGCAATATAATTTTATTTATTTAATTAATTATTTCTCAATTGCATGAAAAAGTTTAACATTTTTTTTAATTTTGAGTTCCAAATTCTCTCCCTCTCTTCTTCTCCTAGCCCCTCTTTCAGAAAGCAAGCAATTTTACATAGATTATATGTGTATAGTCATGCAAGACATATTTCCATACTAGTCATGTTGCAAAAGAAAACACAGACAGAAAAAAAAAAGAAAAAGAAAGAAAGCAAAAAAATGCTTCACTCTACACCCAAGTGTTTCTCTGGAGGTAGATAGCATTTTTCATTGTAAGTCTTTCAGAATTGGCTTGAATCATTGTATTGCTGAGAATAGCTAAGTCATTTTGAGTTGACCATCATACAATACTGCTGTTATTGTGTGTGATGTTCTCCTGGTTCTGCTTGCATCGGTTTGCATCAGTTCATATTTTTTTTCTTTGAACATCCTGCTCCTTATCTCTTATAGCACAATAATGGTCCGTCACTATTATATACCACGACTTGTTTAGCCATTCCCCAATTGATGGACATCCTCTAATTTCCAATTCCTTGCCACCACAAAAAGATATGCTGTAAGTATTTTTGTATGTATAGGTCCTTTTCCTTTTCCTTTGGTCTCTTTAGAATACACACCTAGTAGTGGTATTTCTGGCCCAAAGGGTATGCGCAGTTTTACCGCCCTTTAGGGATAGTTCCAAATTATTCTCCAGAATGGTTGGATCAGTTCACAACTCCACCAACAGTGCATTAGTGTTCCAATTTTTCCATATCTCCTTCAAAGTTTGTCATGTTCTTTTTCTACCATATTAGCCCATCTGATTGGTATGAGGTAGTACCTCAGAGTTGTTTTAATTTGCATTTCAATAATCGATAGTTATTTAGAGCATTTTAAAAATATTACTATAGATGGCTTTGATTTCTTCTTCTGAAAACTGCATGTTCATATCCTTTGACCATTTATCAACTGGGGAATGAGTCCTATTTATATAAACTTGACTCAGTTCTCTAGATATCTGAAAAATGAGGCCTTTATCAAAGAAACCTGCGATAAAACTTTTTTGCCCAGTTTCCTGCCTCCCCTCTGATCTCTGAAAATCATGTATTAAGTGTCTGATGAAGCACCAAGCACTGTGCTTGGTGCTGGAGATAGGAAAACAAAAATGAATACTCCCTGTCTTCAAGAAGTATACATCCAGTTGGGGCAAAGAACAGGTATACATGTAATACAAATCTATACAAAGCCAATGCAAGGTAATTTCTGTGGGGATTGGAGGTACTAGCAGCTTGGGGAGACAGGAAAGGCTGCATGTAGGAGATGGCACCTACTTGGGTCTTGAAAGAAGCTAGAGATTCTAAGAGTCAGAGGTGAGACGGGAGTACATGCCAAGCATAGGTGACACCATGTGCCAAGGCATGGAGATGCCCCCAAGGGGGGCAGGGAGGGAATAAGCATTTATTAAGTGCCTGCTATATGCCAGGCACTGTGCTAAGCACTTTGCATGTAACTTGTTTGATCCTCATTTAATGGGAAATAGGATGCTATGTTTGGGGTAAGCTAGTCAGGTTGGGTGGACCATTTGGCATAATGGCTAAGGGCCATAATGCATGATAAGTCTGGAAAAATAGACCGGAGCCATATTGTGAAGAGCTCTAAAGACATGAGCAGGAAAGTGGTAGTGATGCTTCCAGAACATCACATTGGCAGCTGTATGGAGGATGAATTGGAGAATGGAGACTGGAAGCAGGAAGACTCGTGAGGAAGCGTTGGCTGCAGTTCAGGTGAAAGGTAATAAGGACCTGAACTAGGGAGATGGGCATGATGATCAGTCTTAAAATCAGGTTAGTCTGTGCCATTAGACACTTGGATAAATGTCTAGACCCTAAAGACACAGTGAATTATTTTAGATGACTGTGGAATGAGAGATGATCTGTTAGGAGCTTTGAATTAGATGGAGGAGCATAGCATATTTAAACAATTTATTTTAAAAAAACTGAGCTTTTGTGGTGGTTGGTAAGTTATTTTGAATCCCTTCATTCTGGGAATGTATCTCTAGAAATCCTGGCCCTATTCTGACTGTTTGTCTACCTTTCCTCATGAATATCCAACTTAACTATCTTGTTCTTAGGGAGTAAGAAAATTTTAGTGGATAATGTGTTTCCCTTCTCCGTAACTGTCAGCTTTCAAAAGGACCAAGAACCTTGGAATTGATGATTGACTTTTATGTTTGGCGGACTGTTTTGCATCTGTGTGGGCTTCTATCAGAGCTTTGGGTCAGCTATTCAATTCAATTCTCCAAGTATTTATTACCTGATTGTCCTGTTATTTCAGCCCTAGCATGAAGGCTAGGTCTTTTTTATAGGTCATAGAGCTAGGAGGGGTTTTAGAAATCATCTAATTCAATCCCTTTATGATGAGCAGACTGAAGTTTGGAGAGACAAATTGATTTGTCTTAAAAATCACTTATTGAATAGCCTTTTTCTTCTGAGTTATAGATCAGAGATTTAGAGCTGGAAGTAACCTAATAGCTCATCTTGACCAGATTAAGTGATTTACTTGCCCAAGGTCACACAGGTAAGAATAGGCAACTCTGAGGCTTGAATCAAGGTCATAGACTCCAAATTCAATTGTCTTTATAATACTTCCTCCCAGTTTTATCTCTGCCTTTTAGTCAAGACTCCTCCCTGAGAATTTGATTTCTGCTAAATTACCTGAAATTCCTCAAATTCCACTCTAAAACAATGCAATTCCTTTAGAATTCCCACAGGATGAGGAAATAAACAAAGACGTTCCCTGTCCAAATTCCAAGATG